ATTTTGAACCGGGTTCGCTGTCCGCTCCGCCGCGGCCTGTGTCCATTCGAGACAGAAGGCCGCCTGCCCAACAGCGGCCGCTGTTAGTTTGGGACAACATTTGCTGTTCGGCATTGTGTCCATTGTTTCCGTGCCCATTGCGGGCGTCCAAACCAAAGCGGCCACCAGAGGTCGACAGGAAGACCACACGCAAGCATGAAATTTGGCCAGAGCGATCTTTAGTGCGAGCGCATCGGGGCCCCCACGATCGCGGAGCGTCTTGCGATAGTGGCTGCTTGCGCGCTTGGATTTGGCCATTCTGCGCCTCCTGCCTCCGCGCACCAAAGGTCACTTTTGCCTAGGGTCCCGCGGGGAAGCAAGCTTGATCCTCAGCGAGAGGCTTGCGTGTAGCCGATGGAAGCCGCGGCGATTGAAGGGGCCCTGCGCGAAGCAGGGTTTCGGCTTCCTCGCGGCTGCACGCAGGCCCTTCAGCCGCGGCAGGACTCTCCTTGCGCGGCTGATCTTGCGTGTAGCCGATGGAAGCTGCGGCGACTGAAGACACCACCTCGCCGCAGGCCCGGGAACATCTGTCGCCTCGGCTCCCCGCGGGCCCCGCCCGCTCAAGCCGCCACGCCGCGTCATGGCGCAGTGCGGCCCCCCCGCGCCCGCGCCGCGGGCCGCCGATGGGGGCACGGGCGCGGCCCGGCGCGGGCGCTGCCCGGCGGTGTCGGGGCGGCCGCGGCAGTGATCGGGGGCTCCCAAGAAGGGGGGCCGTGCTCAGGGAAGCACCCTCGACTCGAGGCTGTTGGGAGTTCTCGGCGGTGCTCCGGCCTCGAGAGGCCTTTCAGCTGCAGCGACGTGGGGAACACGCGCATCGGCATCCAGGAGAGAGGGAATTTTCCGGTGTTGCCCAGATCGTCTCGGACGGCCGTCGAGGAGCCGAGTTATAACCCAAAAGCCAGGGGGCGACATGTGTGGATCTCATGACCCGGGCCATAATCTCCCAGGCCCCTCATTTTCTCTGACGTTCTCTCGCTGTGGACGCCAGCGGTGAGCACGTGTGGAAGTGACAAGGGGCGGGCCTTCTCAGAAGGCTGGGAAGTTCCCGGGCCCTCTGAGAAATTTCTTGAGCCTTCCTCAAAGACACGAAAAACCTGTCAGAAGGCCGTAGGCCTTCTGAGAAGACCCGCGGCCCTGTGAAAAGGCCTTCCTCTTCTCACTTCCCCCCCTCGCTCACCGCCGAGAACAACTCGCGACGGAAGGTTCTGGTTTCTCTTCGGCCCCAGGGGGGCAACCCCCGTGATCCAGGAGCATGGCCTGGGCCACTGATGCGTCGGCCACGCGCTTCCTGGCCCCCCATCTTCCCTTACAGTCAAAAGCCCTAATAAGGACGCGCGACTTTGCTCAGGGTACCCTTGCGTCCTTGCTCTTCCTTGCTCTTGCGTCCTTGAGGTTGTCGTCGTCCGCCGCCCAAAAAATCCCAACTTCGGCTTCCAAGGGTTTTGCGTCCTTACCGCACGTCCTTATTAGGGTTTTTGAGTGTACCTCCGACGTCGTGCACTCGTGACAGCGTGGGCCCCCGCAGGCCTTGACCCCTTCCGTGGGGGATCGTCTTTCCACCCTGAGCCGTTCTCTGACGGCCCCGGTGGGCGTGTTTTACTGCTCCTCCCCGGGGTGGCGCTCGCTACGCGGGCCCAACCTCCCGCCCCCCGTAACGCTATCGATCGTATTGCGGCGATCTTGCTGCGCCGGCGGCGCAGACGCACCCGTCATGACGGGTGCACGCCGCGGCCGCCGTTACCATATTACCCTCCCGCCCGACCCCCCCCAGGGGAACGACCGTTGCCCAGGAAAGAAATTCATAGGCCTCCCATACGGGGTCGGGGCAGATGGGGTCAGAGGATCACGCCGCATCGGACATGCATCGGCGATGCGGCTCGATGTGGAGCCCGATGTTCTTCGCGCTGGCGTCGCCGATGCATCGCCGACGTCGCCGATGCATCGCCTATGCAATGGCGATGTATCGTCGATGCGGCGCGATCCTCCGAGCCCATGTGCTCGGACCCCAATTGGGAGGCCTCTAAAGACGGTCACTTGGGGCCCAGCGGGGGTCCCAGATGCTGACAACTGCCGAAACGAAAACCTTCCGTTGTGTCTTTTCTCGGCGCGGCGGGGTCTGAGTCATGTTTCGTTTTCGGGCCCTGACTCTCAGGAGCGAAAGAAGGACGTACGCGTATATGAATCCACGGTTTCGAGAGTACGCATTGCGCGGACGTTCGTACCACGGGCGGTCTCGCGGATCGGGGGGCCATGTTCATGTACGTGGTTTGGCGCGTACGTTCTTTGTGGTCTCCCTGGTCTCCGGCGGCCGTTCGGGACGTCCGATCTGGTCACCGCAGGAACGCCCTCGGCGAGGCGCAGCTGCTGGAGAGCATCCCGAGACTGGAAAACCGCCGAGAGCCAACGAAGACGCCCGAAAACCTGACACCTCGAAGGGGGTCTGGGTTCCCAGAGATCCGAGGTGTTGATTTTCCATTCTACGGGGTCCACGGAAGTCCCGACTCATTTTCCCCAAGGACCAGCTGGTATCCCGAGTCGTCTTCTGACAGGGCCCGGCGAGGCCCTGGGAGGCCGCAAATCGCGAGAAATCTCAGCGATGTCTTGCGAAGGCCTTACGGCCAGTGCCGCCGACCCTGAGGACGACGAAGATGAGAACGAGGGGGGGGGCAGGGGGAGGATGAGGAGTGGGAGGTGGAGGAAGGGTGGGGGATGCGGGTGAGGGAGGAGGAAGGGGGAGAAGGATGTGGAGGAGAAGCAAGAGCAGGAGAAGGAGGCAGAGGAGACAGGAGGAGGGGGAGCAGAGAGGGGGGGAGGAGGAGGAGGAGGAGGAGAAGGAGGAGGAGGAGGAGGAGGAGGAGGAGGAGGAGGAGGAGGAGGAGGAGGAAGAGGAAGAGGAGGAGGAAGAGGAGGAGGCCAGAGGCTTTCTTGGGACAGCCTGGGGCTCTCTTGAGGCCGTCTTGGGCCGTCCAGGATTTCTGTTGAATAGTACGTTGGATCTCTAGGAAAACTGTCGAAAACCTCGGATCTCACAGGGGGTCTGCGGAGATCACCGTGCGGTGGGTTGTGTCTGGCCGAGTCCAGCTTACACGTGGGTCACAGGAGCCCCGAGCAGCTCGAGGTGATCCGGTGACTCCGTTGGCGGAGCCCACTTGGCCCGGATCGTGAACCCGCCCACGAGCCACTTGGAGACTCCGCAGTCCACTTTTTTAAGCCAGGTGAGGCCAGATACAGTGGAGGCCCATGCCAAGGAACGCCCTGCTTGCCTTCAGGGTGCGTCGGGTTTCTGGGGCTTCGATGGTTCTGCCACGGAAAGCGTCACGTTCCCACACCAAACATCAAGGAAAATCCTGGGGTCTCAGGGTTGGATTTCTTGCGGATTGGCCTCCACTGGGCGCACCACCTTAGCATCCATTTCTCACCCCCCTCATCTCCTCAGCAACCCGCGCGGTGATCTCAGCGGGTCATGAGCGCCTGAGGTGCGCCATGCGGCCCGGCTGGCGCGCGCTCCGCCAGCGCCCGCCCGCGCCAGCGGCTGGGCCCCTCGCGGCGGCGGCCGCCGCCGCGGGCGCCCGCAGGCACCGCTGCCGCAGGGGCGCGCGGCGGGGCTGCGCGGGCGTGGCGATGTCGGCTGCCGGGGCCTCGGCATCCCCTGAGGTCCGACGTCGCGAAGCAGTGGCAGCATCGCCAGGAACGCCCGGCCGAAGCTCTGCCCAGACCCTCTCAGGTCATGGCAAGATGAGGTTCTTCGCTACTTTCGACCTCCGGGGCCCTCGCCATGGGCCCTGCAGGACAGTGAACAACCCCTCAGGATGAAGAACCGGCCTTACTGAGATGACCGCGGCGTTTGCTCATGTCTGGCTTAACCTAGCTCTAATGTGGAATCGCAGGTGCCCTGAGTGGGGATTGGCGATCAGGGCTAAGCAGGCTTCGCCCACTTAGCTGAGTCATCGAATCACCCTAATACATTTGGGGCGCCTGTAACCCGATAGGCCGGCTGCAGCCCACCTTAGCATCCGCTTCTGACCCCCTTTTACCCCTTTTGGCAACCGCCGCGGCGATCTCAGCAGCATGCCACAACCAAAAACTCGGCCGGAGCCCTGGGCCCTGTCTCCCTGCCGCACGTAATTCGTGCCGGGTCGATCCGTGCGGGACCGTGAGGGTCCTGCATGGGGCCCGCGAACAGTTTGCCCGCTGCGAAGCGGTCGCGACGCCATGACCTCCGGGTCCGCGCCGCCGCCCGACGACGCGCTGTTCAACCGCGGCCTGGACGCGCTCCTCGCCGAGGCGCGCGGCCTGATGGGCGCGCAGCGTGCGCTCGCGGACGTGCTGGCCGCCGCGCGCGCCGGCGCCCAGGCCGGCTGGGAGCAGGGCCGGTCGCCGCCGCCGCCGCCTCCGGCGAACATGGGGCTGGAGGGCGCGCCGGAGGAGGTTCGGCGACCCGTAGGTGTGGCCCTTCGCCAGAGCGACCTGACCAGATCACCCGACGGTTTTTCTGGGAGGCAGATCAGTTAACGCTTTGGACGAGTGGGTCGGTCGCGAAGTCCGGCCACGAGCGAGCCGTCGATGTGTTCGAAACCCTCGCTCGGGACCCCAACGAGAAGACTCCTTGTTACCGAGTTTCAATTCATCATCGTCGGGACCATCCCCACCCCCACCGAGGCAGGGTAAGTTGGCTCTCCCAGCGTACCCCCTCTGGGTGGGGATGGGTGCTGCGAAACACGAAGGGTACGGCACCCATCCACACCCAGGGGGGGTCGTTGCCCAGCGGGGTCAAGGTTTCCCCAGTGGGGGTGGGGATTGTTTTCCTCGCCCAGAATTCGACCACATCCAGTCGCGACCGACATGTGGCGCGGAGGATCTGGGCCCGCTACACGTACGTGACGTTCCCACCGAAAATCAATGGACGACGGGTTGGGCTTCTTGTGGAAGGTTTCATGTGGTCGAGCTCCTACTGCACCGAAATGCAGTTCGACCACCTCCAGTCGCGACCGAAACGTGGCGCGATGGTCGCGGAGGATCCGGGTCCGCTACACGCATGGGGAGTGATCTTTCGCCGGAGGGACCTCTGGTGCGCGGCCTTCGCGCGGCGCGCGCGGGGGGGGGGGGCTAAGACCGTTCATCTGCAGGCCGTCGCCGTCGCACCGCATGCAGCGATCGGCGAGCGGCACACCAGGAGCCACTCCTTGCCCCAGGTCGGGCATGTCCTCCTACGGGAGGAAGCTTCGAGAGCAGTTTAGACAGCAGTCTGGTGACGATTTGTCGTGCTCTTTTGGCTATGTTTGACCATGATTTGGTTGTTGTTTGTTTTGAAAGCCGCCTGTAGAAGGACGAGCCCGACCCAATCCTTGCCCAGGGTCGCTCCTGCGCGCAGCCGGGAGGTCCGGAGGGAGATGGAGGCCGCGTTCTGCGGCTCGCAGCCGTATCCAGCCGACCCGGAGGTGGGCGGCGGAAGAGAGCGGGGTCGACTGCGCGGACAGCGGTGCGCGAGGAGTCCGCGCAGGGCTGCGCGCGAGCGCCCTCTTCTCCACGCGGTGTGCCACGCTGGCGGCCCGCGTATGCCATCGCGCAAAGTCGCCATGTCATCGTGCGTGAGCTGGCGTTTGACGTCACGAACCAAACACAACGTCGCGAGGAAGACTCGGCCCAAACACAACGCCGCGAGGAAGATTCGGCCAGAGACCTGGACCCAATCTTCCTGCGTCATGATCCGAGCCGGATCAGTCCTTGAGGGCCCTGGGGCCCGAAACAAGGAAAAACGTTCGCCCATTGTCAAAGCATAGAGACGCCAGGATCTCAGGGGGCACCCGCGTGGACGACGCAGAAAAACGAAGTCGTTTGTGCCGACATTGGCACGTAAGCTGTGCGTGCAAGATGGTGCGTGAGCATGCGTAAGCGCCTTTGTTTCCAAGGCGGCGTGCCGCGCTGGCGGCCCGCGTAAGCTGCGGCGTAACGTCGCAATGCCATCTTGCGTAAGGCCCCGATCAAGTTAACACAATCAAGCCAGACGACGAAAGCACTCTGATGCAAGAATGTGTGTCAATATCGGACTGACGTTCCGTCCCTCGCGGGACTCTTCTGAGCCAAATTTCCGATTGATCATGCGCATGCGGAGACATGGGAGCCTGGCTGCAACATGCGCCAACAGTCTCTTACAAGGAGCACTGCTCCAACATGCTGTCGCGCGCAAAGCTCCTCCTCCTCCTCCTCCTCCTCCTTATCCTCGTCGTCCTCCTCCTCCTCCTCCTCCTCGTCCTACTCCTCGTCCTTCTCCTCCTCCTCCTCCTCCTCCCTCCCTCCCTCCCTCCCTCCCTCCCTCCCTCCCTCCCTCCCTCCTCCTCCTCCTCCTCCTCCTCCTCCTCCTCCTCCTCCTCCTCCTCCTCCTCCTCCTCCTCCATTTCTTCTCGCCGCCCGAGGTGGAGGCGCTCTGGAGCGAGATGGCCGGCGCGGGCGCCGGGGCCGCGCCCGGCCCGCGGGGCGCGCCCCCGCTCGGGGCGTGGGCGCCCTGGCGGCTGCGCGCCGCCGGCGCGGGCGCCCTGCAGGCCGCGCCGGGGACTGAGAGACGGGGGTCCGTGCAGGCGGGGGCCAGCCAGGTCTGCTACAGTCTGCCGTGGGGCCCCTCTCCCAGACGTCCGGCGATCCAGCTCTTTTCCGTGCCCGGACCCCCGGGGGTCTGCACAGTCTGCCGCCCTGCGCAGCTCTTTCTGTCTTGCGGCCCCGGGGGGCCCGCTGAGGGCCCGCTGCGGCCCGTCTGAGCCTCGGATCTCTGGGCTCGCGCAGGGCCGGTGGGACCCTCCACAGCGCCGGTCGGGGCTCAAGAAACGGGGGTCAATGCAGACGGGGCCAGCCAGGGCGATGTATCCTGCAGGATCTTGCGAAGACCTCTCTGGCTGACCTGGGTTCGCGAGCCGCTCGTGGCCGCGAGGCGGCCGCGCCTATTGGCTGAGCCGGGTCTGCGAAGACCTGCGTTGCAGTTTTTTTTCCTGCATTGCAGTTTTTGGTTTCCCGCTGACCAGGGTCTGGATTGACCCGGGTCAGGAGAGCCGCGCCGGGGTCTGGAGAGCCGCAGCCATTTTGGCTCAAGCCTGCTGTGACTCGAGCGCAGCGTGAGAGCAGAAGGTGGGGGCAGGGCACACGCGGCGTCGTGTCGTCGTCGTCCATCCTTCCTTCCTCCCCCTCGCGGGCCGAATAGGCACCTTCATAGTGCCGTAAACTTCTCCAAGTCCTCCTCCTGGCCGCGGTTCAATCCCGAGCCACTGGCGTGCAAGTGCCTTTCGACTTGCGTGGTTGCTGCACGTGCAAGTCGTTTGCGGCTTACTTCAGGCTCAAGCCCCCCCGCGTCGATGCGAGTAAGCTTGCCTGAGTATGGAAAAACAACAAGCTCCAAGGGGGATCAACACTGCCCTGGCCTAGGGCCAACATCGGCGGCGAGCGAGGCAAGATCCAAGCCCCTGCAATCGGGGCGTTACTAAACGGGCCGGTAGCTGAGGTGCGTTTTCGGTAGCGGTTTGGAAAAAGTGATTTGCCGCGCACAGGTGCGAGGTAAACCCCCCGCCCAGAGTTATGATGATGTATCGACGTTTTTGTCGTCTGGTTTATTTGCACGCGCTAGTGCGAGGCAAATGCCCTGTCACCCCGTTCTCGCTTGAAGGGGCCCACTAGCTGCCGCCACGTTTACTAACGTCCCGTTTGCAGGGGCTTGAGGTCACCACTGCGCTGACCTCGGGCTAAAATCGGCGGCGAGCGAGGCAAAGCCAGTGATACCTCACGCCTCCTCGTCAAGCTGCCCGGCCGTTGCGTGCCACCCCGTGGGGGCAGCTTGGAGAGGGTCGGTTCCCGCCTGGCAGAGAGGGCAGTCAGAAGCGAGGTGGGTTCGTTTGCCTCTTCATTTGGGTCGGCGGCGGGCGAGGGGGGTAAGTGAGAAGGAGTAGGCCTTCTCAGAGTGCGGCCGGGCTTCTCAGAAGCCCTGGCGCCCTCCGAGAGGTTTTCTGTGTCTTCGGGGAAGGCTCAGGAAGCTTCTCAGAAGGCCGGGAGATTTCCGAGCCTTCTGAGAAGGCCTGCCGCTTCTCACTTCCCCCCCGGGCGGGCCGCCGACAAAAAAAAAACACCAGGACTTCGACATCTAGACTCCCGTCGAGGCTTTAGGCAGTCCAGACTGGTCTATAGGTCTGGAGGGTTTATTTCTCGCACTCTGGAAGGTCAGGGTAGTCAGAGGATGGATCATCTACAGTAGGGGTTAAGAAGAAAACCTTTTCGTTGGGGAGGGACTCCGTGTTCCTTGATTGTTTCGCAGCTTGCCTCAGGTTGTCCCAAGGTTCCCGGTGGGAACATCGAAGTTTGACTCATGGAGAAAAGGGACCTCGTTCCTCATTTAGGGTTCCTTATGTCAGCGCCCCGACTGTACAGTGCCGTTCTTGATACATGCTCCGCGTGCGGATCATGTATTAAAAATGCAGGGTTTAGTATTAAACACAATGATGAATTTATGCGTTGATTCATTAGTGCATTAATGGAGGATGACGATTAATAAATGACCGGGGGTCGTGTTCACGCGGCGGCCCCATGGATGACGATTCGAAAAAACCGGCCGCGGGCTGGAAAACTATGTTTTAATCGTTCTCCTCCAGTCAGAAGCTTGTGCAGAAATAGCAGAAAAAACTATTGTTTTAATCGTTCTCTCCCATTTTTTATTAATCGTCATCCCGCATTACTCATGTATCAAAAGTCATATATCTCGAACATCCCATGTATGAAACACTGCGGTCGGGAACTGCTGGGCCCGCGTGTCGCTCCACAGGTCCTGGCACGCCGCGCCTCGGCGCGGCGCGCCACCCACTCCGCGGTCCGTGGGCGTCCGCGTGCCGAGCTCTTTCCGCCCTCGCACCCTCCGGAGGGAGGAAACACTTCTCTTTTTTGTTTCGCGGGTCGAGAGCGCACCTCTTCCGGTCGAAGCTAAGCGGGCCGCGCGAAGCTTGCATTAACAAAGAGGGGGGGGACAGAAGGAGAGGCCTCACGTCCAGGCCAGGAGGAGGCAAAGCCTCGGGATCAGGCGGTGCCGGAGACGATGTGCTTGCAAAGGAACGCCTTGGACAGGAACCCAGGAGGGAAAAAAACACACAGGCACAATGAATCGTCGATGCCTAGGAAAATCTGCGAAACTTTGGGAAATGAGGGGGAAGGCGACAATCCAGAAAATATGGGAAAATATGTTGGGAATCCTTTTATTTGTGTCGATTTGTTTGTGTGTCCCAGGGCCCCTTCACATCCCGCGAAGCAGAGCGGCACGCGATCCGCTTGCAGGGTTTCCCCCGCCGCGACACGCTAAGCGAAACAAATCCCGAACGTGCCCCGCTCTCCCAGATGTCCGAGGCTCCAAACGCATCGGAGCGGCCAGCGTTGGGCTGGTTTCGGCATCGGGGGGCCCTCAATGGGGCTTGGTGCCGTCAAGGAACGGCTCAGGATGAAAAGCCAGCCGTGCGAAGTTGTCCGGACGTTCGGGGGTCCACGCATCGAACAAAAATTGGAGCGCCGGATGTCTGGGTTCGCTTCCAGGCAAATCCGAGTCATACCTCGCGCCTCCTCGTCAAGCGGCCTGGCCGTTGCGGTTCACCCTGGGGAGGCAGCTTGGAAGCGGCTTGCTTCCCGCCTTGCAGCGAGGACACTCAGAAGCGAGGTGGGTTCGTTTGCTTGCTCTTTCGGGGGTCACCAGTCACCAGTTCCTTCTCGAAGTCTAGGGGAACAAACAATGGCATAAACATAAAAATTCGGAGGTCCGCGCGGATTGTTCGGATCGGCGCTGGACCCCCCTCCCTGGCGCGCTGAGCGCGCCAGGCACGGCGCCGGAGGCGCCGCCAACGGGGTTCCAGCGCCGCTCCGAAAAACCCGCGCGGACCTCCGAATTTTTATGTTCATGCCATTGTATGTTCCCCGATTCTGGGACGCCCGGGCTCCGGGATCGAAGATTCGAAGAGGTCTTTGGACGCCCGGTGTCGTTTTGGAAGGCTCGGGAGTGTGCTCGGGGGCCTGCCTCCTCGAGGGAGCGGCGCTGCCTCGAGGAGGTGGCGGCCCCCTCAGGTGGTGACCCTCCGTGGCATTGCCTGGGGGGAGGAGGAGGAGGAGGAGGAGGAGAGGGGAGAGGAGGAGGAGGAGGAGGAGGAGGATCGAGCTTTCTCCGCCTCTGGCCCAAGCAAAGGAAGACGAGGAGGAGGAGGAGGAGGAGGAAGAGGGGGAGGAGGAGGAGGAGGAGGTGGAGAGGAGGAGGACTGGGCAACACCTGCCCAGCATCTTGCAGGCATGCCTCTCACTGCGGTGCAGTTCCTGGTTCCACGTTCGGCGCCCTCCCCTGGTGGTGGCCGCTGGCCCCCCCTCCCCCCGCACTGCCCCAGCAGGCCGCCGCCGCTGCCTCCCTCCTCCTCCTCCTCCCTCCTCCCTCCTCCTCCTCCTCCTCCTCCTCCTCCTCCTCCTCCTCCTCCTCCTCCTCCTCCTCCTCCTTCTCCTCCTCCTCCTCCTCCTCCTCCTCCTCCCCCTCCTCCCGGCAGGCCGCGCTGCTGGGCGCGGGGCTCGCGAGGGACAACCGGGCAGCGGCCTACGCCGCCGAGGCTCGGAGATGGGCTGGAAGGGTGCCCCCAGGGCCGTCACGATCGATCCGAGGCTCGAGGCCCCCCGTCCGTGCGTTTCTGGAGGACTCAGGTTTTGCCCACAGCGGGAAACAAAATCATGGGCTCCACGAGATATCCCTAGTTTGTTTCAATGTTTATGTCGTTGGTGTCCGAGGTGGGCGCCATTGCTTATGCGTTCTGGCCTGGGGGGTGGGGCCCACAGCCACCCATGAAGCGCGCGCGTTGTTGTATCGCCGTTTTTCGCGCAGCCCCTGCCATTGACTGCCCAGCGCTGGAAAGCCTCAGGTTTTCCAGCGCCGGGATTTTCTCCAGAAGCTGCGCCTCGCCGAGGGCGTTCCAGCAGTGCCCATTCGTCCCGAACGGCTTCCAGAGGCCCGAGACCCGAAAACCAAGCACAACGCTGACCCCCATCGCGTCGTGACAAAGTCACGGCGGATGCTTATTATTTGCTGTTTCTGGCTTCCAGGCCCAAGGACCGTCAACGGTATGGGATTGGAGAGTTGTTTCCAAGATTTCGCCCCCAGGATCCGTCCCTGAGATTCTGACGTCGCAGTATGCAATGTCTCGGGCCCCCCTGACTGATCGATCTGGCTCAAAGCTATGTAGCAAAAACATGGCGTCCATGGTTCTTGTTGGGTTTTTGTTGCGATGTTGTATGGTTGTCCTGACGTGGGATCTCAGGGTGTTATATGATAAGATCTGACGTTAGAAAAAGTTACAACACGACTGGAACCCTGGAACCCAACTTTCTGCATAATTGTTCGAGGCGGTTCGACTTGTGAGGGTCTCGGGGTCCGAAGCTGGGCGGAAACGCCCGTCGCGAAAAGCTACAGCGCCAGGATCTCCGGGCACGCAGAGCCCATCGTGTCGTGACGGGGCGACACCATCATGGGAGGTGTCGTTGCCGTGCTCGGCCTCTCGGGGCCCTCGCCAGGCCCCGAGGGGTTGTCAGACAACAGCGGGGTTGTCAGGCGAGTCCCGCCCAGATCACCGCGGGGGGGTGCTAAGGCGGTGGCGTTGGTTAGAAGTGGATGCTGAGGTGTCGAGTATTTGTCCTAACCGGGCTTACATTCGAAGAACAGAAGGAAGGCACAAACATGAATTTTCGGAGCTCCGTGCGGATTTCTTGGGTTGGCGCGGTCATTCTGGCGGCGCCTTTGGCTCCGCGCGCCAGGGAGGGGGTTCCAGCGCGGATCCAAGAACTCCGCGCAGAAAACCGAAAGCTCATGTTCATGCCTCGAGTGGTTGAGGGTCAACGACTCCGCCCAATTCGCGGGAGTATCCAACCGCTTCGAGCTACTAGGGGCACGTGTAACCCACTTATGAGCTAGGTTAGGCCAGGCACAACCCACCTTCTGATCCCGTTCAAAATCCCTTTTTTTTTTGTTATCTTTGGCAACTCTGGGGGGGATCTCGGCGGGGAATGGGTCGATGCCCTTGGGGAATCCGCGCTGTGAGACGTCATGACGTCGGGGGTCCGGGCGCCCCACGTCGCCTGGTCGGCTCAGGAGCCAAGGGGTTCGGCGATGGGAGTTCGCTGCAGCGGGAGTGCTGCAACATCCGAAAGTTCGGGGGGCTGGGCGTCCGTGCGCCGAGATCCGCTGGCTCCTCCTCCTCCTCCTCCTCCTCCTCCTCCTCCTCCTCCTCCTCCTCCCCCGCCTCCTCCTCCTCCTCCTCCTCCTCCTCCTCCTCCTCCTCCTCCTCCGACAGGGCGGCGCAGTGTGTATCCAGCCGCCCGCGGCAAGTCTCGCCACCGTGCCAGCACAGTCTTCCGGGTGGCGACTGCGCAAGGTGGCAGGGGGAGCCGCCACGTGTGACACCTCGTGTCTTCAGGCGTGGGAGGGCCGTGATGAGGAGGATGACGTTTATGACGATGGTGGGGCCATGACGATGCAGAAGTTGATGGTGATGATGATGGTGAAGGTGGTGATGATGATGCTGGCGATGGTGATGATGATGCTCCTGGTGATCCCTGTGATGATGGTAATGATGATGATGATGATGATGATGATGATGATGATGATGATGATGATGCTTGTGCTGCTGATGCTGCTGGTGATGAGGATGATAATCCTGATGGCGACGACGACGTCGACGATGACGATGGCGATGACGTCGAGTATGATCATCATCCTGATGGTGATACTGGTGATGCTGATGATGATGGTGATGCTGACGATGCTGATGAAAATGCTAATGCTGATGATGACGCTGATGATGCCGAAAATGCTGATGATTATTATGATGATGGTAATGAGGATGATTATGCTGCTGCTGCTGATGCTGTTGATGCTGCTGATGGTGTTGATAACGATCATGCTGGTGTTGATGATGATGGTGGGAATGATGATCATGAGGATGAGGATGATGATGACGATGCTGTTGATGCTGATGACGCTGATGGTTGTGGTGATGATGCTGATGATGCTGATGATTGAACTGGTGATGACCATGCTGATAGTGTTGATGATGCTGATGCTGATGCTGCTGCTGTTGCTGTTGCTGATGATGAGGTTGATGCTGCTGATGATGAAGCTGTTGATGATGGCGATGATACTGATGTTGTTGATGATGATGTTGATGTTGTTGATGCTGATTATGCGGATGGTGATGCTGATGATGGTGATGATGATAATCAGTATGATACTGATGAGGGAGATGATGAACAGCATGATGCTGATGATGCTGATGATGATGATGATGAATTTGATGCTGCTGATGACGATGACGATGACGATGACGATGACGATGCTGCTGATGATGATGATGATGATGCTGATGATGATGATGATGCTGATGATGATGATTATGATGATGATTATGATGATGATGATGATGATGATGATGATGATGATGATGATGATGATGATGATGATGATGATGATGATGATGATGATGATGATGCAACTCGTTTCGGCCGTCTTGGGGCTGTTCGGGCTTCTTGTGAGACAGTCGGGGGGATCCTTTGGGCCCTCCTGGGCCGTCTTCGGGCCCGCTGACGCCACTTTGGGCTGTTTCGGGCCGTCTTGGGTCCCTCGGGACTGCATGGTGGGTATCTTGGGGCCGTCGTGGGGCCGTCTTGGCTCCGTCTTGGACCGTCGGCTAGCCTTCTAAGGCCGTCTTGGTGCCCACTGGAGGTCCTCTTGGGCCGTCTTAGGTCCGCCTTGGATGCCTCTTGGGCCACCGTGGAGTCCTCTTTGGCCGTCCTGAGCTGACGGCAGCCCGAACAGGCGAGAATGCAAGAATCGCTCAAACAAATAAATAAGATGGGTTCCTAAGGACCCTGTTGGCGGTCCTCTTGTGGCCATTTTGGGCTCTCTTGGAGGCATCTTGGGACGTCTTGATTCAACATTCTGCCGCCTTGAAGCTATCTCGGGCCGTTTTTCGTGCATTTTGGGCCATCTTGGTGTCCTTGGTTGCCTGCGCGGGTCGTCTTGGAAACTCGGGACTCAGACCAGTCGTTCTTTCACAAGGCACCGTTGTTTGGGAGGCCTTGCAACGCTTGAAAGCAGCGGCTGGGAATGTGGGAAGTGTACGATCCTCGAGCGGGTGCGCGTGGGATGCGGGCCTAGGAGTTAGTGCACAATCCTCGAGCGGATGCGCGTGGGATGAGGGTTCAGGCATTCGCTGCCATGCAGGAAGTGCACAATCCTCGAGCGGATGCGCGTGGGATGAGGGTTCAGGCATTCGTGCAGGAAGTGCACAATCCTCGAGCGGATGCGCGTGGGATGAGGGTTCAGGCATTCGCTGCCATGCGGGAAGTGCACCATCCTCGAGCGGGTACGCGTGGAATGGGGGGCTAGAAGCTAGCTGCCATGCTGGAGGTGCGGGCACGAGGGAAGTGGCCTCGGCGAGGTAGGGGGAGGATGAGCGCAGCAGTCCGCGGGCAGAGGGAGAGGCGGTCCCTTACCAGATCGCAGGAAACCCTACCAGGCGGACCGCGGCATTCTTCCCCACCCCACCGTGCCCGGGTGCACGGTGGCGGATGTACGGCTGACACGGGGGGCCAGGACCAAGACACAGGCCTCGGAGGGGTGCCCTCGTGCTCGTCGCCGTTGGCCCCCTCCCCACTTTACGATGTGCTTCGCGCCTGGTATCTGAATAGGGGGCCCTGTGGCCTTCGGCGGCGAAGGGGCTCGTTCTCTTGAGCCGCGTGCTGGTGGCCCCGTTTCGCCTGTACTTCAGGCCCCTCCCAGAGGCGCTGGAGCGCTGGTCGGCGCTGTCCACGTGTCTCGCGGGCGGCAGGCTTCGAGGAACAAAAACCGGCAGCAACATCAACTTTCGGAGGATTTGCGCGGATTTCTCGGGTCGGCGTTGGGCCCCCCAGCCCCCTGGCGGTGCCTCCGGCGCCGCCCCTGGCGCACGCTGCCCAAGCCAAGACACCCGCGCGAAGCTCAGAGAGTCTATGTCTATGTCGCCCCGTGCTCCTCTGAGGCTGGGCCGCGGCGTGGCGGCGGCCAGCGAGCTGCTGTCGCGCCCCGAGCTGACCTCCACGGGGCGGCGCGTGGAGGCCTACGTGACGCACCTGACGGACGCCAAGGGAGACGAGGCAACCCCCCCCACACCTGGCGTCTACTGAGCAGCCCTGAGCAGTTGATGAACAGCCCCGCCCTGTTCGATCCCTTCCTTTCCTGTGCATTTGCAGGAGGGCTTCGCTCGTCAGGGGTCCTCTCATTTGGGTGGTTTCCGCCCTCTAGGACGACGACTACTTGCTGGGGGCGAGCGTGCTGGCGGCCAGCCTAGCGGCCACTGGCACCACGCGGCCCTTGCTGGCGATGGTGACCGAGGGGGTGAGCGCCGAGGGCCGCGCGCTGCTCCACGAGACGGGCTGGGCCATCCTCGACGTGGACCTGGTGGGCATCGAGGGCAAGGACTCCAGGAAGAAACAACAACATAAACATAGACTTCGGAGATTTTGGTTAGATATTGTTGTTTTGTTTGTTTGCTTACCCTTTTCGGGCTCTGGAGGCAGTTTTCGAGCCAGGGACCGTAAAGACCTGATCTGGGATCAGAAATTGCACCAGGTGTTCCCCTGGAGTGTTCTGTGGACAGAGTTTGGGCGAGGGTATTGCAGGGTCGGGCAAGCATCGAGGGCAAGGTCTCGAGGAAGAAACAGGGAGGGTGAGGCGTTCGTTCAGCAATACGTCCAGGAGGCGTCAGGCCCTGGAGTCCTTCTCTGATGAGGGCGGCCGTGATGTCCATGGCCGAGCCTCATTGAGTGTTGCACTGGTTGCCAGACCCTGGATCCTGATCTCAGGGTTCCTTATCCAAGGCCCTCACTGCACATGCGCATAAACTGTCGGAGCTCTTCGCGGATTTTTCGGATCGGTACTGGACTCCCTGGCGCTGCCGCCTCCGTCGCCGCCCTCTCGTGCTCCGTGCGCCAGGGAGAGAGGGTCCAACGCCGAGCCAAGAATCCTCGCGGAGCTCCGAAAGCTTCAGCTTTTCCCCACCATCATGTGGTGTTGGGTCTTCGTTTTGAAGGGACAGCGCCACGCGTCACTCCTCCTTCCTCCTCCCCCCTCCCTCCATCCTACCATGCCTGCCTCTGCCCTCCGCGTGTCAATTCCGGCACACACCCCTCACGCGTTTCGTGGTCCCATAGGCAGGCCCACCTGAGGCCCCCACATTTGGGTTCGCATACCTGCTCCACGCCATTTCGGCGCACCTCTCACACGCTTCGTGGCCTCATAGGGAGCTCCACCTGAGGCTCAGCGGCTGAGTTCGCGGACCTGGTACGCCATTTCGGCACACCAATCGCACAGGGAGCTTCACATAAAACCTAAGGCCCCAGTGTGTGGGTTCGCATACCTGGTCTACGCCATGTCGGCGCACTCCTCACACGTCTCGTGGCTCCACAGGGAGATTTAAGGCCTCAACGGCTGGGTTCGCATACCTGGTCCACCCCATTCCGGCGCACCACTGATACTTTTCGTGGCCCCATAGGGAGCTCCACCTACAGCGCCAGCGGCTGGGTTCGCATACCTGGTCCACGCCATGTCGGCGCACCCGCCACACGTTTCGTGGCTCCATGCATGGAGATCCACGGAAGGCCCAAATGGCAGGGTTCGCATACCTGGTTAGCCATTTCGGCGTGCGGTGCTCGCGGCTGCATGTGGTTGGGTCCTTCGCCAGGCTATTTTGTTTTGCATCCTTCCCCGTCAAGGACTCCCAGCACGTCCGGGGCTACTTCTGCAAGATCCTGCTGTGGAGCCTGCCGTGCCACTCGGTCGCCGGTGGGCGCCGAACGGGGGAGGTCGGGGCTCAAGAGACGGGGGTCAATGACCCAGGCAGGGCGCATTGACCCAGGCAGGGCGCAGGATCCTGCAGGGCTAGGGTCGCATTGACCCGGGCTTTGGCGCAGGCGGGATCCTGCAGGATCTTGCAGGATCCTTCGCATCGGCCGGGATTTGGGTGCAGGATCTTGCAGGATTCCTCTGTACCGACGGGGGCCCGCTGCCGACCGGCCAGCGGCGCAGCCACCGTCGACGCCTAGCCGATGCTCCCCTCACGGGCCAACTCCCCAGTCGGCGCACAAGGACAGGCCCGCCAGGTAGTCCCGGCTGGCCTCAACAGGCCTGCCCCGGGGGCAGTTTCAACCCCCTGGTGCCGCCAGAGGCTGCGCGGGGCGCTCCGACGGGGGCGAAAAAACATGAACCTGTCGTGCTCCTTTCGGGCCCCATGGCGGCAGGCCCTTTGGGGCCCCTGAGGTGCACAAGCGGTTCACCGTTCTCTCCTTTCCCCCTGCATCGCCTCTGAGGTGTACAAATGGTGCACAGAGGGTTTTCATTTCTCGCCCCCCCCTCCATGACGCAATGCCCGTCGTCCTACACCGACACCGGCCAGCTGCTTCCTCGCGCTCCCCTCCCTTCCGCTGGTCCCCGCGGGCGAGGCCTCCGAGGAGTGCAGCCTCTGGAGGCGCGGGGGCCCCCCTGGGGGGAGGGCCCGCAGGGACTGAGCGAGTGGGTCTAGGCCTCTCAGAGATGGGGTCGGAGCAGATGAGGTCGGAGGATCGCGCCGCATCGCCGAGGCATCGCCGATGCGGCCCGATGTAGAGCCCGAGCTCCGCGCTGGCGTCGCCGATGCACTGGCGATGCAGCGGCGATGCGGCGCCATCCCCCGACCCCATGTGGTCAGACCCCACCCGGGAGGCCTCTGCGACAGGGGCCGAACGAGTGCAGCAACGCGTGGGCCCTGGAGCCCCGGGCCCCCCGGGCCGAAGAGGCAAGAGCAGCATGGGCATGAACTTTCGGGGGTCCGCGCGGGTGTCCTGGATCTGGTCTGCAGCCCCCCATGGCGGCGCCTCCGGCGCCGCCACTGGAGCGCGGAGAGGGCCAGGGAGGGGTGTCCAGCGCCGATCCAAAAAATTTGCGCGGGACTCCGATTGTTTGTTTTCGTGGGAACATTTTTTGCTAGATTCTGGCAAGCTTGTTTGCATGGAGGAGATGAGGGGCCACCAGAAGGGGGTTGCATGACGGGGCCCGCAAGGAAATCGAGACGTCACGCAAGTCGGGATTCGCTTGCACGCCTTTTCGGCTCAGCGCTGTTTTAAGATTCCGCGGATGGGGGGAATACAATGAAAGTAAACTTGCCCAGGTCTAAACTAAATGCGCCTCATGCCGATGATTGCTCTTCTGTCAATGTAACATACCGGCTTTGTTTGTTTCTTCTTCTTCAAATCAAAAGACGGGTCCCTGGAGATCTCGACCCACACCCCAGAACCAATTTGTCATCCTGAGTCGTTGTTTCATGGCCCCCTCGGCGAGGGCCCCAGGAGGCAGAAAAGGAGCAAACGGCAGTCCGTCGTGTCTCTTTTCTTTTTGCGACGCGAGGGGCGAGGGGGTCTGGGTTCTTGTCGAGGTCATCTACCTGGATACCGACACGATCGTCATGGAGAGCCTGGACGGTCTGTTCGCGGCGGCGGGCGGGGACGAGTTGGCGGCGGTGCCTGACTCGCAGCCGCACATGAGCGGCGACATGGTCGTGCAGGCGTGTTCCTCGCCGCCCTCGTCTGTCCCCCACCCCCTCTCGTTGCCAGAGATTCGCAACGGACGTGTCCGTCATCTCTCGCCGTTTTGCGCCTCCCGGGAGGCCCTCGTCGTCACGTCTGGATTCGCCTCGAAACTCTGGTCAGAACGCACCCGGGAGAGGTCCGTGAAGTAGCGGTATTGGTACCTCTCGCTGTGGCAAACCACGACGGCAGGTTTTTAAAGGTTTCGGCCTTCGGGGGCTTCACAGGGCCCCGCGCCCGTCGCAAAAAACGGCTCGGAACGAAACACCAGGTTGGGGGCAGGGGTTAGGGGGCCAGATGCGAACCCTACCCCTACCCCCTACGATTTCTGAGGGGGAGGGTGGGGTTCACTTCGTTCGTGGGGGGTAGGGGTAGGGTTCGCATCTGGCTCCCTAGGGGTCGCGACGGGGATCCACGCTGCGGAACGTCGCGACGTCGCTTTTCTCGGGGTTCGTGCCTGCCGCCCTGCGGCCAGGCTCTCTCACGGCGGCCTCGTCGTCCTCGTCGTCCTCGACGGCTGTTCCTCCTGCGTGGGGGGGCTCCCAGGAGGCCCGAAGAGCCCCCCAAGAAGCCCCAAGAGGCGTCCCAAGAGGCATCCCAAGATGCCATCAAGAGGCCCAAATCATGGAATTCCGATGGGAAAAGGTACATTTATAGCATACCCGGCTTTTCGGCTTTCACGGCGTTGAAGACGGTCCAAGAGGCCTCCAAGACCGCCCCAAGACGGCCCAAGAGGCTCCCAAGAGGCCCCCAAAACGGCCCAAGAGGGCCCCAAGACGGCCCCAGAGGCGCCCCGGACCCTTCTGTCGTGGTAATTACCTTCTGGCTGGCACTTCGAGGCGGATCTGGCCGTTGCGCCGGTGGGGCGGGCAGCGGCAGCGGCATCTCTCCATCCTCTGGCGCTCGCCGTGTCACCGATCTCCGCCGCGATGCTTCTCGCATTGCTGGAAGCAGTCAAGAGCATGATAGCTTGTTTTTGTTCGATACGTGCGTAAAGTCGGGCGGCACAGAAAAACGGGGTCGTCTGCGCCGACATTGGCGCGCGAGCTGCCCGCGCAAGGTCGCGCATAAGCGCCCTCGCTTCCAGCGTCGCGTGCCGCGCTGGCGGCCCGCGCAAGCACACCGCGTAAGGTCTCCGTGTCGTCTCGCGTAAGACCCGTGTTTCTGTTCGGCGCCCAGTGGATCTCAAAAGTGCAGGCAGGGCTCATGGTCGTCGAGCCGTCCCCGGGGCGCTTCGCGGACCTCTGGGACGTGTGCTGCGGCGACCGCCGCCCCGACTCGCTCGACAGCTGGAAGGACCCGTGGGGAGGCCAGGCGACGACGGGCCCGGAGGC